AAGTCCCGATTGACAATTTTGTTCGGAAGTTGATTCAAGAATGATCTCTGAGGAAAAAGCTGTAGAAGAAAATATAATTTGGAAACTTAATAACTAAGCTGAGTAAGCGGAATGCGGAATAAGCATGGTAGCTTCGTTGCAGGTCTGTGGCGTAACATAACATAACAGCTTAAGAAAAAAATCTTTCTCGCGATGTAGAAATATACAGGGTATTCAATTTAAGAAAACTGAGTTTTTGAAGTTATTAAAATTCAATTTTTTATTATCACCCGGTATAATGCTAAAAAAAATTTCTATCATAAACTAAAAATGTATTGGGTAATTAAAAACAATGGTGCAAACCGCATCCTTTTATCTTTTCTAGTTTCGAGGATATTAGCCATTGAAATGTTTCAGTTTTGGCTGGGACACCCTGTATAATAAAGTCTAATAATAGGAGCAGTGTTTGCAAGCTTGCAGCACGAAAATTTAATTTGATCGTTTTAATGATTACCACCAATTTAACACGCCACGAGCGATAATTAAATTTGATTGATAAAACAATAATTAGGAATTGTTTGGCGTCTTTTAATCGATACCAATTATTAGGAATGTGGTAAATCAGCGTAACGGTTTATATCATTTAATAACGTATACTATGCGCTTATGCAGTTTCATTTGATATGTTAAATTTGGTTTAGCTTTTATTTGAAAATATTATGTAATACAAGTCCCAGTACCTATGTATGATTGCATTTTTGAATGAAAGTTATATTTTTTACAAAGTAGGTATTGAGTTCGTTTATTTTAAAATTAAATGGAAACATGGGACCAGGGCCGCCGCTAAGGTGTGTGCCGCCCGTGTGCAACTCAATATTTGCCGCACCTCTCCTACATGGGTTTTTTCATTTCAGAGCGGGGGTGCTGAAGCTCGCCGCTGGCGCCGCCGGAGGCAGAATTTTTTTTCGGGTGCCACGCCCAAAAACGTTTATTTTAAGCCTTAAAAAAATCATTTGGAAAATCTTTCGCGGCAGGAGAGGCACTGCCACCCCTGACCAGCCGCTACTTAGCAGCAGGTGCCTACTAATAATATATTTAACAAAATTTATGAAAGTTGCATGTAATTACTTTTTTTCATATAATAGGTATATCAACAGTAATCAGTAAATAGTTAAACTATACCTACTATACCCACTAGAAAATTTGAAGGAATATCCAACATTCGGCAAAGTCAGCGGCATTATCAGTATCAAAGCTAGATAAAAAAAGAAATATACCTAAATAAAATGCATGCCTTCCAGTTTTTTTTATGTAGACTAAGCTTATAAAATAGATATTGGTATACAGGGGAGTCGCGTCGGGGGTGGTAATGGGGGTAATTACCCCTCCCCCCCTCAGGATCGAATTCTCAAGAGAAATATCACGATGCCCAAAAGAAATTACATAATATATTGAAGAAAATAGAATTTGGTTTTGTTTTATTTTTCTCACAAAGGAAATAATTGTTCTGGAAAAGTGAATGACCTTGAAATTTGCACAAAAAAATCATCTGCGGCGCGTTTTCGGAGGGCGCCCCCTCAACCCGTTTACCCCTATTATTTAACCCCCCCCCCCCCCGCAGACTGCTGGTCACGCGTCGCCACTGTTGTTATACATATAAATATTGTAGGGTGACCATACGTACAGCGTTTCGCTATATTGTACAGGATTTTTAAAGTCTGTCCAGCATTTGATTCTGTACAGCAAACGTACAGCGATTCGAATCCGATCATATTTAAGTTTTTCTTAAAAAAAATTGTCCGTAAATAACTTAAGGGCATTTCTACATTTGCGATTTACGTCATTTACGCCATCATCTCCCAGAGTATTCTTTTTAATGCTAACTACCTTTTTTATCTCTCTCTATTCCACGCTGCTTAGAAGAAGACACAGCATAATAGGACTGTTTCTGCAGCAATCACAAACCAGTCAGCGCGAATTTTATTGGTTGAAAATTGTCAAAAAGTCAGAAACAGTCAGAAAACTAGTTTCCACCCAAGGTTCCTAAAGTTAATAGGTTGTCTGATAATAATGACATCATCAGGAAGATCTAATGGAGATTTACATTATGTTTAGGCATCCAGATGGCGTCATAAAAGTTATCAGCCTCTTTCAAACAGACCTTGGTTTCTACCATTAAGGTTTTCAACCAATGAAATTCATTCTGACTAGTCTGACTGGTTTGTGATTTTTGTGCGAACAGACCTAAAGTTTGTTTTTTATTTAAAGATAATTCCCCAAGTCAAAAATTTAGTAAGTATGTTGGCAACAGAAGCCTTTTCTACATAAAAATTTTAAAAGCATTGACAATTTTACATTGTATTGCCAACATAATGTCATTTTGACTTTTATCTTTAAAAAAAAACCAGACTTTATTATGTTATGTCTTTCATTTTTTTTTTTTTTGTTAAGTGGTACTAAAACGGGCTAAAAAGTCGACAAAATTTGCATTTAGTGCTTTCTCCACTCATCTGTCCCAAAATTTAAGAAGTGTACAGCATTCATGCAAAAAAAATATGGTCACCCTAAAATATTGGAGTTTATAGAGTCATTGTTATTTAATTTAAATTATTTTTTTTTGGTTATTTGGAAAAAAAAAGTATTATCAGTGGGGTCTGCTTTGGCCGCCCGTGTGCGGTGCACACTTTGCACACATGGTAGCGGCGGCCCTGCATGGGACTTTTTGTTATGAAAAGAATGTAATAAAATGTTCCTCCTGGTTGTTTCTGAGAATTGAACTATAATTTTTAATAAAGCTTTGGCTTAATTTTGTTCGAATTTGATTGAAAACACGACAATTTGCATAAGATCATGTAGATTAACATCATAAACTTTGTCTTTGACAAGGCCGTAAAGAGAAATATCTATGGGGGTTGAATCGTATTATCTATTGCAGGTCAACTTATGTTACCATTCCGGCAAGTTATCGATGAAAATACACCTGAATGTTATTAACAATTTTGCACAAATATTTAGAAAATATTGTTATGAAAACCTTAACTTATGTAGACGTTTGAGTGATTTTTCATGGTTGAATGGGTGATTACTTATCATACCTATCGCATTCAGTAACGTATTTTCTGTATCAATTTCAACTTGTTTTATATTTTACTAGCTGACCCGGCGAACTTCGTACCGCCTCTGAATTATTAAATATCTCTGAGTTAAATACCTATTAAATGTTGTGTTAACGTATCTACGAGCTGAATTAAATTCAGGTCAAACCAGAGTCGCTTGCCAGTGAGTTCAGTGATGCATTTTAAGAAGCACTCCAGAGCTGCTCTAGAGCGCCCCGGGCTGTTTATAGGCGTTCCAGTGTATCAGAGTTTCGCGCAACTGAACTTTTTTTTCGGGATAAAAAATAGCCTATACCACTCCCCTCTATAGCCGAATTCGATTGACCGGATTAGATCGTTCTGGTTCAATTTAAGTGAACCACACTGTGTTCGATTGAGGTTGGATCAGTGCACCTTCATCAACAAAAAAATGATCTAGATCAGAAGAATTGAACCCAAATCGATCTAATCTAGGTCAATCGAATTCGGCTTATATAGAGATATGTGGTATTAAATTCGAGATCGGTCCAGCCGTTCGAGAACGGCTGGACCGATCATTCATGCTGTTAAAAAAAAGTTGGGCTATGTTGTTATGTAATGTGAATGAGTTTGTTTAAAATTGAATTAATAATTAATTCAAAATGAATTTCTTTTTCTGAGATGCTTAACCTATCCACAAACTTTCCTTGGAATGGCCATAACAACCTACCAAAGTTTTATCGTAATCGGATAAGTGGTGTAGGAGTGCATAGGGCGCAAACCCAGCAAGCAAACAAACATTGATTTTTATATACAGGGTGTCCCATAAGTCACAATCCAAACTGAAAGGGGCGATTCTTTAGATTATTTTATGACTAAAACTTCAGATAAACATAGGTCTGGTAACGCTTCGTTACAGATCTACAGGGTGGTGAAATGTTAAAATGTGTTCATATTAAAAATGAGCAAGAATATGGCGACAAGGGCGTGGCCCACTTCTAGATTTCTACTGAAAATGACCAAGAATATGACGGCGGGACCTCTATTGTCGCCACTGTAGGTAGAAAAGGTATATTGAGTCACTGTAGTTTCATATAGCTAATAACAGAGATTTGTTTTTTATTTTATTTTTTCTCGATAAGGGTCGGTAATTCGAAGAAACTACAAGAGAACAAAAAGTTTCTAAATAAGGTAGAAAAATCATTCAGTTCTTTAGAATCTACCAGCGGTGCACCGCAAAAAAGTTCAGGAGCAGAAAAGGGCACATGACCCCTGAAAAAACATTACCCTGCAATTTCTGGCAAACGTTTGAAATGTGCAATCATTTAGCTCCTATTGTGTCACCTATATTCCAAATTTCAGCTAAATCCCTCAAAAATTGCAGGAGCAATAGAGAAAAAACTAAAAAAATATTGAAATTTCAACACCCTGTAGATCGGTAACGGAACGTTTGCGGATACATATTTATTGAAAATTTTAGTCATAAAATAAACCAAGGAATCACCCCTTTCAGTTTGGACCGTGACTTATGGGACACCCTGTATATAGATATACCTACATTGATACCTACCCATCTATATTGTTAATAGAATAAACTCTAGGTGACGCCAAAATTATTAAAATTATAATCATTAAAATCATCAATTATGATTACTTAATGATTTGGATTTATTTTAATAATCCATAATTGATTGAATCAATATGATTTATTGAAATTAATTTATCGCTTAAATTCTTCTGAAACAATCTTTATGGCTAATGAAAAAATCCTAGATAAATCCAAACAAGTTAGGTATAGGTATGTTTAATAGAAAAAAGAATCCAAGAGTTTTGCAAGTACTAAATAATAATTATCCATTATTTATTTTAAGGGTTTAATGTAAATTGTTGTGCGAAAAATGTATACTTAATAGAACTGGCAACTTTGAATTATAAAAACAAACTTACCCAAAAATGTAGCCGCTATTTGAACCCATAGATTTTTCAAAACACTTGCCTCAACCATTTTTACTAGAAGTCACGATGATACTTCCTATTTTAAAATATTTGCGATCTAGGAGTTGATATGGTTTAATGTATGGTGGTTTAACTAATGAAAATTTAAACAGTCCTGTGTCGTGAATTGGCGAATGTGCCACCATAATATGACCAACAAAATGTGTATTATCAATGCTATATGTTTAACTACTGTAATAATTTTTTGCGCTGTTGCCAAAAAAAACCTTTTTTTCTTTGTTATGTAAATAAGAATTGGTATGAAATGAATGCTCTTGAAATACTTTCGAGTCGTAACTCAGACCGCGCTTTTACGTCCTAACAACGTCCTTATTGAAGTCTTGGCATCAAGGTCACGACGTCAAATAGACGATTATTCAATGCCTATTTCTACAAAAATTGAGATTGATTTTAAATTAGTAGTGACATTGCAAATCATGAGTGTTTTCCAATTTTGGAAGCAGAAACGTCATTATGCACATCACTGTTTTAACGTTCCATGAATTCTATTTCTACTGAAGGTATAATCTCGAGGAGTATTCAGTAGTTTTTAAGCAAATCATGAATTCAAAAAAAAAAAAAATTCCAGGAAGGCCCATTGCCAAAAAACCTCAACTGGATTATATAATGCGGGTCACTGTCAGTCATTTTCCGTGGAGTGGCTATCATTTTCCAAAACATCGACGATTAGGTGGTCAGTTACCCATCAGATGTTTTTCAATTTCTTGATAGATATTTTCTCCTAATGGCAGTGTCACTTCACTGAAACAGATTTATCTTTCTTTTTATGACTAGAATTCGTTGAAACTCGTCTCTCAATAGGTATCTAACTTTAGCCCTCATTCCTCATTCACTTTTCTAGAATTATTTAAAAAAAAAAATAATAATAATTAATTTTACTCAGGAAATACCTGTACATTCATTTAACAAAAAATTAAATTTTATAATAATTATTATTATAATTACTTATTCTATATAAGGTAGTTTAGTACCTATCTATTGAATAATAAAACACACCGACCGACCTTGAACTGCGATATGGTGAACATGAAAAAATCATGGACACTTCGTAATCACCAGCTGTTTTGCTGTTTATATAGGTACAAATATTGTTATTTTTTATTTTTATAATTGAAACTTCTAATTTGTTTTACATAATATACAACGTGTACAGAAGTCGTTCGTATCTATCTTATATTGGGATGGCGCTTAAGCCTAGTACTCATAACTGCGAAATTCGCATTTTTACATTGCTTCGACAATTTGACGTCTGATACACGCATAAAACGTCAAATTGTCAAAGCAATGTCAAAAAAATGCGAATTTCGCAGTTATGAGTAGGTACTAGGCTTTATTTGGAATTAGTTATTCAGTAATCTGATTTTATGTCAATAGAGTTTTGAGATTAAAAGATTTCTTAATACTTAATATGTCACCAGCATCGCAGATACCTAGTTTGAAATAGTTTGATAAGCTCACGTCATTAATTATTTTTCAGATAATTGTTCGCATCCCAATTTTTTATTTTTGGATGCACATATCAGTTATAAATCAATAACTTAACATTAATCTTTAAGAAAAAATTAAATTGAGAATTTCATACATCTGTCAAAACTGGTATTCCAACAATAAATTGACATGTTTTGATTGTTGATTTAAACCAATCAGATTGTAATTACGCGATAATTTGCACTAGTGCAAATTATCAGATAATTGCATACTAACTGGTGCGAAAACTGGTGTTTTGACATTTTTTGACAAAAAATTTAAATTTTTGATTTATGAAATTCTCTCATTAAATACAACTCGTGCAATGGAAATATATTTATAATTTTCGACAAATTTGCACTCATGCGTTTTTAACTGAAAAAGGCACTCGTGCACTACGTGCACTCGTGCTCTTTTTCAACTAAAACTGCATCCGGGCAAATTTCCCAAAAATTATCAATAATTTCCATTGCACTAGTTATACATATTACTATTGATAATATTTTTTTCGTTTGAAGAATAATAAGCTAATAAACAAATGCTGCAAAGTTCTATAAAAAAAAATATGAAGTGCAAGCTAAGGAGAAAATACATAATTGATTATGGCTAAAATTATACAGTGTAGGTAGTTCAACATACCTCACGCCTCCCCCATATACAGGTTGTTTCACGAAAATCGAAACTGGGGCGTTTTATATATTTAAGGGTCGATTAAAAAAAAAAAAAAAAAAACGCCCCGCCACGAAACTTTTTAACTCCATCGGTATTTTACTAACAATTCGTTCTTAAGATATTCACTGTCAAAGTTGCCATGGGCTAAATAAAAAACAATCTTCTGACCCTATTATTCTCAAATCAACACTTTCCTGACTTTCCTCTCGGACAAGTCAATTTTCTTTTTTTGTGTGCTTCAAAAAAAAAAAAAAGCCGTTTCTTCCCATCAAAAGGTTGAAAGAGCTATCAACTAATCAAAGAATAAAAAGGCTGCTGGCTTAGATGGAGTCTCTGGCTGACTTTTTTAAAGAGAGGACTTTGCCATAAAATGGAACAACGAGACAATTTCTGGAGACACCTGTGAGACACGTCTATCCTCGCCATATTCAAGCCTAACAACAGAAGTCTTCAAAATCCCAACCTGAGTGAAGCGTCAAGCCCATTTTCTTTATTTGTATGAGAAGTACCTCAGCTTGCCCAAGAAAACCTGCCGTTGGGCGTTGAAATCTTCTATATAGGACTGACAGTAAGTTATTCAATCTGAGCAGAATTTAAGCGAAGGACATGGTATCCACAACAACTGTATGTGATCTTCAATATGCTGATGATAACCCTGACCTGGCAAAGACCGAGGAAGACATAGGAACATCGGCCTAACAATAAATATGGATAGAACGGAAATCCTTACTAACCTGTCGCAAATACTAATTCATCAGATCCAGCTGTAATTATCAATTGAGCACTTCTACAAAATATACAATACTTTCCATACCTCGCTAGTCATTTTTCGACAAATGCAAACATTGACGCGGAAAACTCCAACTAAAGTGCGCCAGCAAAGTTTTTGTACGTCTCTTTAAAGAGTGTTCGACAAACACGACATAAGTATCCAAACTAAGCTAGCGATCTCCAATGCCATCGTCATACTGTCAACTACTTAAGTAAATATACCTACCGCTCTGTACATCAATTTTACTAAAGTGTGTCGACGAGTCAGCAATAATTTGGTATAAATACCGCATCGAAATCCATTACCGGCAGACAAAGGCTAGTGCTAGGGAAAAGCCCCTCTAGCTGAGTCTCCTCCCAGTGCAAACTACCTTTAATGGGAAACGTCCTTCTGAACCTGTCTCAAACCCAGCTTTAGTCTTCAGTCACGCCATGTGTACAGAGTGTACATAATACAGAGAGGCCTATAAGTAGTACGACCCTCCCTAGAAGAGATATCAAGATACTATTTCTAGGGTAATATTATTATTATTCAATACCTATCTTATTGTACCTACACCAAGCGAGTTTCTCTCTACCTGAACCCCACCTACGCCCTCGAGGCCGTATTCTTGATTTCTGGGAGGAGAACTTGCTCGGGAAGTGAGCGTGGTTCACCTCAAAACGGTACATGTCATATTCTTGAAAATGGGGCTGTGAAGTGAAAGTTCCCGGGAATTCTGAAGTTCCCATCCTCTCACCCAAGAGAAAACGAGTTCCCGCCAGGGTTTCTAACCTCAAAACTTGACGTTGTTTTCAAACTTGACTTGTTTTTGTATTCTCCTTTCAAGTTCACCAAGTTCACGGCTTTTTCGTTTTCATAGGCGTCATTTTTATGAATGTGGATTATTTTAATGAGATTATCTTGAATACAGAACATAATCCAAGAAGACATGGGAAATGCTGCGGAAGCGAAAGAAATAGGATACGATGTTCTGCGTCGAAGAATTCTTTTTCCCTTGATCAGAAATTCATGAAATTTTTAGGAGTGAGCAAAAATGTATGCCACGAAATAGTGGACATGGTTACTCCGTATGTTACCGCTTCAATGCAAATCTCGGCTTCAACCAAAACTACAAAGGTATGCATTGAACACAGTATTCCAGAAGTTGATGAGCCACATGAAGTTCAGGAACAGGAATACGGAATATATACTGCGGAAAATTATGCGGAATATTTCCCTCATGTATAAAAAATTTCAAAGGAGGAATACAATTATCGAAAACACAGCGATGATGCTCATAGGGTACCTAATTAAAAATAAATAAATTATCAAACCCAAACGCCTTTCAGCTTTCAAAGTTTGGAAAAATAGACAATAATAAACATCAAACGTTGGGGTTAGATTACTTCCTCTTCGTTTTTTTCGCTTGAAAATACGTTTTGGTAAGTCCGAGTGACACTCGCATAGGCGGCAACATTGCGAGCGTTTGTGGGTATTCAAGAATACGACCTTTTAGCTCCCGGGAGCGAAAGTGAACTAGCTTTCCTGGGAACGTTCCCGGGAACACTCCCTTCCCGGACAGTCAAGAATACGGGGCCAGGTCACGCTCCTGTTGTGACGTCCCAAGACGAAACGTATAGGGATTGTGATAATACCAACACCTTTATATTCATATGGAACCTAAACGACCTATAGGCAGCACCTTAGATGTGTAGAAATGTATCACCAGCGAGGCTTAGGAAGAATGCTCAAAATAACCACAAAGAATTGTCGAACAAACAACAGTATACTTGAGGGAACCAATTCCACCAGCATTGAGGCAATGCTTATCCAACATCTGCTTTGCTGAGCTGGTCATGTCGTCCGCATTCCACACTCATTTCTTAGTAAGCAAATCATGTATTCCCAACTAAAAAATAGCCAACCCAGAACGGGCAATTTGAACGACACAAACATTTAGCAACCGGCTACCGCTGATTGGGTGTGCAATCCAGGTGGGAGAAATTGTGGGTTCAGAGTAGGCTTATTTAGTCATCAGAAAATCTGCAGATATTGATTCTGCCAATATTCTTGTAATACTTGTTAGGAATTGTCTCATAAAGATATGAAGAGCTGAATGCAAAACTTGGATTAGGGCTATGCAAACACTCTTAACATAAAGTCGGTTGGCGAACTGGACCAAACATTTATTGGTGAAGACAGACAGACCGAATATAGTGGATGGCTGCCCAGAAAGACCTCGGTTTGCCTAATGTATGAATATGTATTTGGAAACATTATATATATCATTATTATGCTCAATTACCAGCCTTTTCAGTTATGGGAGTGGCTCATTGTACCTATACTCTGCAGCCTGCGATTTAAAGCCAAGATTAAGGGACGTGATCCAACTACTATTTTCTATGAACAACAAAAAAAAAAAACACTTCAGCCTAATAGACTTTCATAACTTCTAAACCTTGGTGGGCAATATATAATGTATCGGCTATACCTTCCCTCTGTCTTTGGCTCCGCAATATGACATCTTTAGCCTGCTGTCGTACCGGAAATTTCTTTCTTATTTTATTTTCTATCGCTAACAATACAACATATAGTTTTTTTTTTCTCAACAAAAAACAATAGGTACAGATAAAATATTTGCCAATTTTCACGATTATAGATTATGCGTGTTCAACGGTATTAAAATAATGACGTAGGTACTTATCGTCTTGAACCATGTGCTGCATAAAAATACCGCCAATCATGGGCATTCAATGAAACGCTGTTCAGTTTGGTGGTGGTCCGCGGCGTTTATTATTAGTTAAATTCAGTTTTGGGTAAGGTCATTTACAATGGATTCCTATAATTTAACGCCAGGAACAAACAAAGAGGTTAATGAATGTAAAGGCAACTATTTTTCAACCACCAATGAAGTTCCACTATTACAAGAAAGGCCGGCAACTATAAGGTAAGTGTTAAAATTATAGGTGAAACATTAATTAGGTAGATTTCAATATCACCAATAACATATCCATGAAATCGAAGTTTCTATTCCCCAAAAGCTTTTCTAGCTTAAATAAATTTGCCTTGAACCAAACAATTTTTGAAAAACTGTCAAATATTATTTCAAGCTCTTATTTGATGGGAATTTATCTACACTTACATATGTACTGTAGATACTTAATGCAAGTCTTAAGTGGAATATTGATTAGGTGGCTACCTATAATTTATAAAGAATATTCACAGTACATTGTCCGGAACTTCAACTAAACTTTTAACATTTGCGCCAGCACATTATTGGACAATTTATTTTTTAAAAAATTTATATAATTTGAAGCTTGCTTATTTGTACTAGTGTATTGTTAAATTGTTGTACTTAGGTACAAGGGAAAACAAATGTATTTGCAAGAATTAGCATTATTAAAGTACCAAGTACCTATGTAATAAATAAACAAATTGAAAATTGATGAAAGCATTTCCTTTCAGAAATCTCTGGTTGGAATTATGTCTTTAAATTACCAATTAATTATTATCTAATTCAGCCTAACTTTTTCCATCCTGTATAAGAAGTATACATTAGGTAGTACCAGTAAAGTAGAATCGAGTAGGTACTGGACAATTATTGTTAAATATGCAATTTTTATGAGTGCACTAGCCGAACTAAATCGTTGTATATAATTTGGCCTCGAATTTAGCCAATAATGTTTATAAATCAAGTGCAAAGCCAATTATTTGGAAAAATAGTTGTTACCCGCATTTTGCATTTACGTTGAAAATCATTTCCACTGTTTGTTGAGTTTCAAGACCTCAGTTCCTGCTTCGGTTATTGTAAAAATCTCATTTTCCCTTCCAACCCAACTTTAATGGTTCCCTCTCTAAATAGGGACCTACCTACCTATAAATTATTTTTTCTATTTTGGTGTCATATTGAAGTCTTTTCGACACTAAAAGTAGTTTCGAAAAGAAGCTCTTTGTGACACTCCTTTTTTACTTATCGAACGTTGGTAACACTGGCTGACTGATGGCCATCGAACTGTCATTCGCGATTTTATAATAGAAGATTTCTATATTTGGCAAGAAGTGTTACCAACCTAAACATATGAAATCATGAAAATTTGGAAGACTGATTAATACATAGTTTTCGTGATAGGCTGTCGGCGATGACATGACTTCTTCCTTTACTGTGTTTGGTTTGAGAGTCGTAACTTGTTAATTTCTCTGACCGACGCGCGATTTAAACTTCTGGGTTTTTTTTTAAATTAAGCAGCCGCTGCAAGGCAGATTGGTCGATTCCGGCTAGAAACTTCCTTCCATAGACAAAAGTGTGGTAATACTTAATTGATCTGATTACTGCCAGAAGCTTCTTTCGGGTGACACAATAATTTCTCTATTCTTTTCTCAATGACTTACTAAAATATCCGAAAACTGCGTCTCTGTCACTTTGATTTTGTGAAAGAACAGCTCCTGTGCAATTTTGCGATGCGTTAGGTCAAATGCAAAGGCTCCATCATCCATGGAAAATGCTAAAACTGCAGCTTCAATCTGTTTTCCAGCCGGACGAAATTCTGTGGACATTCTGAAGAAGAATCAAAGTGCGCGTTTTTCTCAATAGGTTGACGTAAACGTTGCGCACTCTTCCCAGAATCCTTTATAAACCGGTGGTCAGAAGCTTCTTACTTCACGCTTCACGTTTGTTCTTTGGTTTGGGCCAATCTTATGCCGTCTGGACTCTCGCTGGATATGTTTTTTTTTTCGAACAGAAATCTTCGTCTTTACTTAGATATGCCTTTACAGTCGGTTTGCTATAACCAAGAATTCTTGGCAAGGATTTTACCTACAATCCTTATTTGAGTGTAACGAGAAGGCTATTCTTCGTTGCCCACCCCACCCTTCTATTAGAAAGTTCACAAATAGGAAATCTACTATGTCAACAAGTATTACTTCTACTTTATGTTGGGTGCTGCTTATCCCCAACGTCACACTACTGGTTTTTCCAGAAACATTCATCAAGCCTTGTTTAGATGTTTCTATAGAAGCGTACAATATCACCTAAGAAACCTTGTCGGAGCATATCACAGTTCTTCATGCCTCTGTGTCGATGGTCTTATCACATTTAGCTGCCGCTGTCTATTGTTTGGCCGTGATTGAGAGTGATTAGCGTGGGAATTATAAATTTGACATTCGTGAGGGCAATTTGGTTCTGGGTTCATCTTTCAGATTCGATTTGAAGTATATCCATATTTAAGAAACTTTTAAATCATCATGAGTATGTTGTGGTCTCGAGGGAGCCTGGGCTGGAACTCTGTAACGGATAGAGATCGTTATCTCTATCGCTATGGCACTTGCTGTCTTCTTCTCTCTTGTCGAAATCAATAGAGAGGAGACGTCAATAGAGATAAAAAAATTATCCCTATTTGTTACAGAGTTTTAGCCCTGTAACCCCTAGAGAGCGCAACCACAGGTGGCGGATAGAGAAATGCCTCCCAGATATGGCTAGTAGCAGGGAAATGACATACCTCCTGCGGGCCAACAGGAAAGCGGCGTCTGATCAAGAATGGGCGACCGCAAACAGCGTCTGTTCCTCATGTTAGAGGCGGCTGAAGTTCTCACTCACCAAGTCGTCCTGCCAACGTGATGTTTTATGGCGAAACCCCTCTTAAATTATAGAAAAAAAAAGAAAGGGCCCTCAGTTTCCAGCAGTTCGGTTAGCCTGTCCAAGGTAGCGGACAGACCAGCGACCGAACAGAGGGTGATAAGAATCCCTGGAGTGGACCAGGCTGCCAACTATACATCGGAACATACCACGCAAGGACCTTGAAAAATGAAAAAATGTTAGAGGAACTAAATTACGAACTCGATAGAATAAATTGGGACATAGTAGGACTGGCAGAAGTCAGAAGAAGAGGTGGAGAATGTCTAAGTCTCAAATCAAATCACCTTCTTTTCTACAAAGTTGATGATAAGAGCAGTAATGGAGGAGTTCAAATCCTGATACACGAACGAATGGTCCCATACCTACAAATACTCAAGAGATAATATACATAACGTTGAAAATCAACACGAATACAACAATCAAAATCATCCAAATTTACGCACCAACAACCGACTACGAGGATCAAAAGTTCGAGGAATTTTTAGAAGAGGTAACACAGTGTCTGCATGAGAACAAAACAAAGTACACACTAGTTATGGGAGATTTTAATGCAAAAATAAACCAAGATGACACCGACTCATGTTACATTGGCAAATTCGGACATGGTACAAGAAACGAGGCAACATGCTTATCAACTTCTTAGAAAGAGAGCAACTCTTTGCGATGAACACATTCTTCAAAAAAAGACCTAACAAAAAATGGACATGGGCAAGCCCAGATGGAGAGACATAAAACGAAATAGACTTTATACTGACACATCAAAAACACATAATCCAAGATGTCGACGTCTTGGGCCCATTCACGATTGGCAGCGATCATAGAATGGTAAGATGTAAAATAGCCATAAACGGCAGACTAGAAAGAGCAAAGAAATTTAACCACACCCAAAAAACAATTAATCACACATACCAGTGAAACACAAAAAATATAATTCGCAACAAAATTTACACAAAAACTGCAGAAAGGCCCAATAAAACCGCACGAAGACAAGTTGATAAAATAATAACGAAAACAATAGAAACAGCAAAAAATATCAATACACCGAAGGGTAGGCCAGAAAAATTTAACAAGGAACCAAAACAGATGCTGGAAAAGAGTAGAGAACTTATAAACAGGGAAAAAAAGATACAACAGAATACAGAGAGACTAACAAAATAGCCAGAAGGATCACAAAAATAGACATTGAAACACAACAACAAACAGCAACAGCAACAACAAAAAGCACAAATCGAAACACTGATGCAACAACAAAAAGGCCCAAACGTTTTCAAACGGAAGAACGCACATAAATGAGAAATTAGAAAGCTGATGGATAAACAGGGAAACATTATAGAAGACAGAGATGGAATATTGCGTATGAAGGAAACTTTCTATAAGGAACTATACAACGCAAAAAGCAACAACGAAAATTGTAACGTTTTCAATTTCTTGGCTAATAAGCTACCTTGTTTTGCCATACTGGATATGATTCCATATAGAGCTACAATGAAATAAATGAATAATCAACTATCTTTTTTGTGCCCAGATTTTGTTACCTTGAGTGCTGCCTTCTACTGAAAGTTTTTTTTGGTGCAGGTTTGCAAGTTTTGTTAATTGATCTAGGAAGGTTTGATTCAGTACGGCAGGGCCCGCTGTTATTGATTAGAATCTTAGGAAAAGGAGTTAGTACCATCATCATCTCTGTTTGCAAATCCAATCAATAATCTGAGGTTATGATAATAATTGTTGTTTACTTTTGACTTTTCATTTCCATCATGTCATTGAACAGCTGTTTTGTCTAGGCGTTTTCTTCAGACCTGTTCTACCTTTTGATATATGTTCTATAGGCACTTTTCAATATTCACCAGTCATTTTTACACAACCGATTCCCAGTGCGTACTTTTGGGGTGAAACTGAACACGTCCTTTTTTATAATTTTCTTTAATGTCAAAATTAGAAGTTTGACAGATGAAAGTCTTCTTCCGAAATCTAAATGAAGAATCTGCCCTTTTGATCTGCGACCTCACGCTGAGTAGTCGTCCGGTCTCGGGCCTCGGCCCTAATTATTTTTGGGGCGAGACTTTTTGGAATTTTGTGCCAGGGAGCTCAAGTTTTAGACCAATTTCTTGCTGATAATTGTCTAGAGTCGTCCCTTGGTCATTTTTGGATTCTGTTTCGGTAAGTTTGAGATTTTCTTCAGGAAATATTAACCTACAACACGTGTTCCATTTTTTTTTAATAGGACTGTTCCGAGCAGCATTTGGAAGTTCAAGACTTCACCTTTGGTCTAGAGTATCCCTCAATTTGAGGTGAGGTGAGATTATTTCTAATATTTGGGGCTCGATTTGTTTTTTTATACGAACATCGTTATAGGGTCCTACTCTTAGGCTATAGTTGGACAATCCTAGTTCTAGGCTGTAGCTAGACAGTCTTAGGCTATAGTTGGACAGCTCCTAGAAAGAGATTCTAGACTAGATCTAGATTGCTCTTAGTTGGCTTTCGTAACCTTTCTCCAGCAACTCTCTTGGTACCACTCTGGCAGAACCACGTCGAGTTCTACGTTAAACAGATACAACGTGGATAGGACTCATGACCCACTTACCATACCATAGTCTATCTAATAGTGAGACCAAACCTGTAGATAACCTCACTTTGGAAAGTTCTGGATTTTCACATACATTTCACTTGTATACACGTAAGTTGCACTTTTACTATTTAGGCAAATCATATATAAATCATCTGACGCCGAATTACGTCAGTACGTGCCCCTTAAATAAAATTCTAGAATTTTACCCTGAGGTTGCCCAAAGAATAACTTTCACCTTTCTGTGTTAAATTTGCCTGTTGGTAGAGTGTAACCCATACTGTTTTTTTCTTCCACAAGTGTTAATAAACAGTTAAAACTGTTTATTTTAAATCCATATATTCATTATTTACATTTTTTTTATTTATTCAAATATTCACAAATTAGGTACAAGCCTAATCCTAAACACCTTTTTTAATAACTTCGTGGCTACTTATTGGCGCAATAGTTAAGTCCTAATTACTTGGTGGCTACACTTTTTGGCGCCTTATTATTATTGTTATTATTTTTTAATAAAGAAAGCCAGATACATTATTGTACCTAATTAGTTGTTTTATTGTTAAGCGCTCCAATTGTACAAGTTTTGTTATAACATCAATAAGTAATCTTCCTAGTTAAGTCACAATTAACTTGGTGGCGCCCAAAGGTAAGATGTATACAAGGAACCCATAGATCCATGGCCTCCGAACTGATGCTGACTAGCCGTATGCAGTATAATTAGGCAATTGCCAAAATAAGTACGTTATAAAATAACAAACAAAAAACATCCAAAATTCCAAGTGTTGGGTCAGAAGAGATCCCTGATATAGAAGAAGAAGAAATTGTAAAACCGCTAAGCCGATTAAACAACAGAAAAGCCCCAGGAATGGACGATATACTATCAGAAATTCTGAAGGAGGCAGGAGAATACCTTGTAAAACAACTGAATACTCTTTCCAATAAATGTCTAACAGAGACGAAAATACCACACGACTGGGAGACTGCCATCGGAGTTCTGATATACAAAAAAATAGGCCCATCAAATCTTGAAAACTATAGACCACCCATCTACCTCCTGTCTCAGCAGTGGTGGCTCGTCAGGGGAGGCAGGAAAGACAGTGTCTCCCCTGTAAAAATGCTACAAAATATATTTTCATATAATTTTAAAAGATTTTCCAAGTTTTGTTTTTTAGAAGGCTTAATTCTGGGCGATAGAAAGAGTTATGAGAAATGCACGAATAGATCAGCGATGTATAAACATAATCAAAAATATTCAAGAAGCAACAAAAATAAAATTGAGAATGCATGAAGATACAAATGAAGTGAAGATGCGTAAGACAAGGCGATATAATATCACCTAAGCTGTTCATTCTAGTCCTCGGAGATGTGTTCAAGAAATTACATTGGGAAAATAGAGGAATCAATATATCTGGAGAAAACCTCAATAATTTAAGATTTACTGATGATGTAATGTTCGCCCCGAACGAAACAGACTTAGAAATCATGCTGAAAGAATAACTCCAAGAAGCCAAGAAAATAGGATTACAAATGAACGTATCAAAAACAGAATTTATGACAAATGAGCGAACAAATAGGGACACAATATCGATAGAAAACCAACAAGTGAAAAAAGTAAGCTCCTACAAGTATCTAGGACAGGAAGTAACACTTGGTAAAAGTCAATCAAGAGCTTGAAATTAATAGGAGAATACGACTGGGATGGACGGCGTATGGTAAAATGCGCCACTCATTCCAGTCCAAGTTGCCGTTGAAGCTGGAAACTGAAGTCTACAACGAATGCATTCTGCCAGCAGTTGCCTGGAAGTGAAACCTGCCCCCGGATTCTATTTTACGAGTCGAGTCGGATTGTCTCGATATCGAATACGACAGCTCCGACGTACCGTGTAATAGGTATCGAAATATCGTAAAATAGAATTGCTATTTTGACAATTCGATACGAATTACGACTCGACTCGTAAGATGGAATCCGCCAGCTGGACGCTCACAAGAAAATCCTAAATAACCTGCAAGTACATCAGAGAGCAATCGCCTGCTAAATCTGAGAGAGGCCTATATCCAGAGGATAGAGAACGGCTAGGAAGAAGAAGAAGAAAGCTTTTGAATGTTAAAAAGATTGACAGTTCAGTTGATTACAGAGAGGTGGTGGCAGGAATTAGCAACGTTGATTGTGGAACACTGGAGGCTATTGGCGCTTGTTGAACTCACAATTTTATGTTGATAAAGAAGAACGATTCCCACCTCATTTTCATTTGTATACGTTGACTCATTGAGAAGTTCAATTCGATCTTTACCTTTTTCGTATTTTTCAAATTGCAAAATAATTTGGCAGATATCATATTGTTCATAGGAAATTTAAAATCCTAATATAATTACAAACCTTTGGAAATTGTTTAACCTATTACTCCCGTATTTTTCAAAATAATAATTCCTGTTTATCTTATAGTATATATGAGACTGACAATTGAAGTTATTTAGTTGCCTAGTCTATTTATAACTGGCAAATATTAGTTGAAACACAATACAATAATGTGTCTATTTTATCGATTATTTCCATAATACCTACTATTTTTATTTCCCTATACCTTACTATTTTGATTCTGATCCTCCAATAAATACCTATATGTTTTATTAAAAATAATAAATAAGTATTTAGTTTATACTTAGCCAATTTAAAATATCATCCGACGCCAGCCTACTAATTGATATCTGTTTTTATTAGATCTTGCACGCATAACATTTAAAGCAAATATTTCATATTGACACAAGATATACCTACCTACAGATTTAAATATGAGGTTTCGTCTTGATCCTTTTCCAGTATTGTGTTTATTTTTGATTCCAGCACTTGCACTCACTGATGTCATAAAAAGAATTGTTACCTAATAACTAACTATATGATCGTGGTGAATAATTATTATTTTAATTACCAGGAACCGCACGTATTCAGAAATGACGGACAAAGGCGTTTGGAGGCATCTTCTACCTCAAGTGGTTGCTACATTATTAGGTGAGTGTAACATTTGAGGCAGACAATTTTCATTTTGAATAAACAGCCTGTGCCAGAACTTTCCCCATTATTTGAAATAATATGATTATATGTGACTAATGTGCTGTTGCTTTATTTAAAAGTACCTACATAGTCTAGGAAAATTGACGATTTTCAAAAAAAAAATCCTACTCAAATGAATTTTTCAGGGATGATAGGGGGCGGGTGGGTGATCATAAAACCGAAGATGTCACATATGCACCTCTTTGGCGTTTTGCACTATAGGGGTTGAAAGTGCGCCATTTGCGATTACTTGGTACCTATTGATTTTACAAAAAAAAATGTTTCAAATAAAAGATGTGCAAAAATATTTGATCTACAATGTTTGTCTAAAGACTTTTTTCATTAAGGGCCGTCTGTGGTCATAAGCACCGTTTGAAATTAATAATGAAAATAAAAATGTTTAACAAACATGAAAACATTTTCTACAGCACATAAGTACAACGTTTTTGCTTTATGAAGTTTTTACTCACCCCCTGTCGTTTTTCAATAGGGGTAGTTTAAAGATTTTCTATTTTTTTCCAAAAAATTCTCTCAATAAAAGTTTTATAAGATTACATTTCCTACAATTTTTCCTCATCAACTTTTTTCGTAACTCACCCCCATTCAGCGGGGGGCACTTCCCTTAGATTGAAATTTTTTATTTTCATCATAAAGTTCAAACGGCCCTTATGACCACAGACGGCCCTTAGTCAGAAAGTCTTCAGATAAAGATTGTAGATCAAATAATGTTGCACATCTTTTATTTGAAACATTTTTTTGTAAAATCAAGGTACCAAGTAATCGCCAATGGCGCACTTTAAACCCCTATAGCGCAAAATGCCAGAGGGTTGTATGTTTGATATCTTCGGTTTTATGATTACCCACCCGCCCCCTATCATCCCTGAAAAGTTCATTTGGGCAGGAATTAACGCTAGCTCCCCCCCCCCCCCAGTGAAAATTTAGAAATTTGTTCATGCTCATTTTGTTCTCCGAGTTTTGCTCCATTTTGCTCCGTTATCGGCGAGTTTTGCTCCATTACCAGGAGAGACCTACAGAGCTCCCAATAATCTCTCCTAGCCCCCCCCCCTGGTAAAATTTTGAAATTTGAACATGCTCATTTTGTACTCCAAGTTTTGCTCCATTACCAGGAAAGTCCTAAAGTCTGGTTTTTTTTTAAAGATAAAAGTCAAAATGACATTATGTTGTAAAATTGTCAATGCTTTCAAATTTTTTATTTATGGTCTAGGAGGCAGTGACGATTTTCGGTACTTATTTTCCCAGTCAGACAACATGGATAGAATAGGGAACTTGCACTTTTCAAGCATTAGAAATCAGCCGTTAATTTTTTATAAATATTTGAAGTTACGCTCGAAACATCGCCATTTGAAACGACCGATTAGTGTGACGTCACTCAGCAACAAAATTCCGTTCACAGTCCTTGGTTGACAGTGACCTGCGAGCAGGTGGATTTAGATTATGGTTATGTTGTTATGTATGCCGTTTATGATAGATTTGACATTGACAACACCAGCAGCACATGGCGTGGCAGCGGTGCGACCCGATTATTACTGCCCTTTAACGTCAGGATCCATAGAAATTCGTTTTTGATCTCGTCAAGAATTTCGAATTATTTGGTATTTTCAATTGAAGATTTTGAAAACCAGAGATAAGATATTATATCCTTTTCCTAATTGCATCATTTATTAGTGTGGTGTTTTCTACTTTTGAAAACCACCTTTTGCAAACTTGGATGGTTAAATTAAACACTGATAATTGTAGATTTATTTTATTTTAATGTTTACTGGTTGAAGGTATAAGATAGAGAGAGAGTACCGTCCAACATGGCTGGTACTTATACCCAAAAATGTACACCTATGAAGAAGGGAGCAATAGTACAATGCGCATGAAGCAAACCGCCAAAACCTACAACTTATAATTTAAATACATTTTTAATATATTACAATTAGGATGATTGTTATTGTATTTTATTATTTATTTCATATTTAATTTAATGTGCAAGTTCCCTATAGTAGGGTTAGTAATTCTAATGGCCGTTTCCTTCAATAAAGCTCTAAGCTGAGAATATGTAAGCGTCCCTTAAAACGTAAACACCGCTTAATTAAATTTGCTGTCCACCACCACCTTTCTGATGAATCTTAACTAAGTGTTATTTAGCTTTGGCAACCTTGCTTTTGTTCGCCATCATAACCTCAAACTCGGCTTTGCGTAGTGATGGAATTTTGAAGTCCAGAAAATAAATAATGTTTTGAAATTATTGACGATAGATTCCTGGTTTAAATAAATAAAAATAAATTGGTCACTTTTAATTTGTGATTTACAATACCTCGCGACAACACCTCCTTTCAACAATGAATGAAAATGAAAAAATAAGAGCTGGAAATTATACTGCCCAAGAAAACGATCTTCTGCTGGTAAACCTTGCGGCAAAGTACAAACATATGATAAAAAACAAGAAAACGGATGCAGTATCGGTTTCAGAAAAAAACAAAAATTTGGCGAAAATTAGCCAATGAGTTTAACACAATCACTCCAAATTCACTTAGGGACGCTTCAATTTGTTCTACAAGTTGCAACACAGTGGGTTTTGTCAATCTGAATCTTCAAAAAACGTTAGATTGTCCATCTCCTCAAAATGATTATTTCTATCATAAATTTTTCTGGGGAAACCACATTTTCATTCAAACAAATCCAATACTTCCAAATCATCTTAGGTATATCCATTTTTCAAACAACAATTTTCTTAAACACAACAGAACGCAAACTTCACGAGAAATAGACCTATCTATTTTTACCTGTTATGCGCGCGCAACACGAGGCAATTTCTTTTTATTGGCTAGCCAATACAGGTGTGAGGTGATCGTTTTGCACGCTGGACATCTCTTTGTCCTTGTTCATTGCACGTGGTCTGACAAGAATAAATCTAAAGTTGATATTCAACTTGGCAAATGTCATTCAAAAGTTGTTTGACATTTTCATTGACAAATACGTTGCACAACACGAGGTTTTTCTTATTCCCTTTTTATCCCGCGCAAATAAGAAGGACGGATTTCTATACGTAAGTCTAACATAATTTGGTACATTTTGCCTCGTCATGCGCAACGAACGTTCTGTGTCTTTTTTTATTTAATGAAGTTTTCGTATTATTACCTCTTTGTCTGGTAAAATAGATAGGTCTATTAGAAAATTAAGAAAAATTTATCTCAATTCAATTATTGCTACTTTCTGTGAAACATCAACTTTAACGTTTGCTTATGTCAACAAAAACATGATGCAAATTGCTTGCGCATATCATCGCCACTCTGTTAAGGGAGGAATAAGCCTAGAAATTCCTGGGCTTAGTTAAGCTTATCTTAATGAGACTAGGTTAGACTGGTGGAAAAGAAATTATAATATAAGCGGCACTTAACGTTAAGTAAACTTAAATTTGCATTGGTGGAAACGGCCATAAGCAAAATACATATATTTTTAGGGGGGGTTTTCCGATGGGTTGAGGGGCAAAATGCATTAAAGCTTACAAATGCACGGCCCTTTTTTTTCTCAGTGATAAAATTAGGTCTACCAATGAGAAGTATACTGAAGTTACGTAAAAAAATAGTCCGGCTAATCTGTGAGTCTGGATAATATGTCTGGCAAGTGAAAAATTTAAGACTCGAAAATTTTCAGCCAGACTCACTTCCACTATCTGAGATAAGCCAAATTGCTATTTTCATATACTTTATGTTCTATTGGAGTAAATGTAGTGTGAAATATTAATGTCTGGGAAAATTAGTGTAGGGGAGAAGCTTGTACCTTGGGCAGGATTTTTTCGAGACGTCGTTATATTCACATTGTTGAATTTTAAGGTAAACTTTTTGGGCTAACTTGTATGTTATATATAGTAGAATATTATATTACATAGTAATATTAGTTAAACAATAAAACACATTTATTTTGGGATTTTATTTATTATTACGAATTTGGCCCAAGGTACAAACACATAGTGTACCTTGGACCAACTAGTCTTGTACCTTGAGGCATTTATACAAATTTAAAAATAAATGTAAAAAAACTATTTCTTACTATTCAACATTGTACTTCTCAAAATCTAAATCGAAAATATGTATCCCTTTTTGCCTTTCGGACAATCCTGCCTGACGTGGGGATGCAAGTTTGAGCAAAACGTCTTCAATATCAATTTGAAATTGTTGACCACTTGGGCCAGAAAATTTGTTGCTGGTGAGAATTCTTTTCAAGTATTGGACCATTAAACAGGGACTTAGAACAGTTACTTCGGCAACATAGAAATGTATTTTTTTTTTCCCTGTTAGTTTTGTGAGACAGAAATCACCTATTGCTAAATCGGTAATTTTGACTTCTGTGGGTTTAGCCTGACATTCTTCTATGGGATCAACTTCAAAATCATCTTCAGCATCTAAGTCTGAATCGTCATCATAGACAACAATGTCTTCAGAATCTTCATCTGAGGATGATGACGACGATGACGACTGTAACACCTTTCTCTTCACAATTTCTTTCTTTGCTGCTTTGGGCGTTTTTGTAACGCTTTTTTTGTTGGCTTCAATTTCCATTTTTTCAGGCGTGTCAGTAGTTAATATTCGGGATTTTCCTTTTTTTCGTCCTTTTGCGGAAGCTTTTCTTGGAGCAGCTTGTGGAAATGGACGAATCATTTCTGGTGTGATTATTGCATGTGATGTGGATGGAGTAACATTTTGTGTGGACGGAGTCGTGTTTAATCTGGAGGAAGCAGCGTTTGGTGTGGATGTAATAATGCTGGATGGAGTTGCAACAGTATTTGATGCAGTTGTAGGAATGCTTGTTGTGGATACGGTTGCTAAATGTAAAGATGGGGTTCCTGATGGGGCTCCTTGGGATGTAGATGGGTCGTCATATGGCCGATCAGTTACTGATGATCCCATGAATTCATGCTCTTGAAAGATATTCTCATTAAACGGCCAAATACCTGATACTCTAAAACCGGACTGAATGTTTGAAGGTATGAAGGCTAAAGGGTAGGCTATTCCTGATATTTCGGCCACATCATAAATTGAAATAGGTTTTCCAGGATGAGAACGCATCCAGTCGGCGCATGCTGTGTTGTAGTATGTTTTGTAAGGCCCAAATACGCTTCGGTCTAGCGGTTGGAGCTTGTGACTTGTGTGAGGAGGTAGGGTAAGCATTACTATTCCGTTTTCTCTTGCGAAATCTATTGCCTCGATGGTAATATGGCTTTCATGGTTATCTAGGATAAGTAGCACCTTATTATTAAAGGAACAATTTACATGTTTCAGAAAGTGGTGAAGATACTGTAGAAAGATTGTTTTGTTAGACCAGCCACTGGGGTGAGCAGATCCAATGGAACCAGGAGGAGCACCTTTAATCATGAAGTCTTTATAATTTACTCTCGGAAATATATATAAAGGTGGCACACTGTTTCCTATGGCATTCACGCATGCAATAATAGTAACATTGACACCTCGTTCACCTGATGTTGCGCTTCCAACTTGTTTCACCCCTTAACAGGCCAAAATCTTATCTGAAACCGAAAAAAAAAAATTATAATAAAGGACTGAAATTTTCCTGACGATGTCAAAAACAAGATAGTGAGAAAAATATTAATTTACCTGGCATATGGACGTTTGTGTTTCCGCTTTCATCTAGATTGTAAATTTTATCAGCAGTAAACTGATGCTTTTGCAAAACCCCCCTGAGCTTCTCGAAAAAAGTGGAAACGTTGTGCTTGTTGAAGCTTGTGGACCGGGCTAAACTTGTCGCTTGTGGTTTTCTTAAGCTTATTGTGTTTCTGCGCTTCAAAAAATCCAAATACCATTGCTTTCCGGCGCGACGTTTGTTTTCCCTAGAAGCAGGAATAGTTTTATTGTTTGCCTTGGCAAAGTCGTAGGCAAGGACCTGAAGATCTTGACGGGTAAGGCCATAATGCATATGAGATGCTGTGAGGAGATACTCGCACAAGCTTTTTTCCTCTGCTTCCGAAAACACTTTTTTAACCGCACAATTTTCGTAAGATTTGTAAGCTACGTTTTGCTCAAGTTTGATCAAATACCTTTTTAGTGTAGATCGGGACACTTTAAAGTCTTTAGATGCAGTACGCACTAAAATATGTTCATTTTGTACAGCATTTGATGCGGATTGTAAAGCGGCAAGGTCGGGGCATTTTCTCTTTACACCCTGTTTACTTCTTGGCATCTAAAAAAAAATATCCATGCAATTATACATCCGAACAAAAAATTCAAAACAGCGATTGTACCTTGGACCATGGCCCAACGTACAAGACAAGGGCCATGGTCCAAGGTACAAGCCTATTAGATATAATAAACAAATATTTTTCTTACCTATATAAACAAAAAATTAAAAATGGAAAATTATCAATTTAATTTCTCTACATACCTAAGTTTAACATATGGCATGCGAAATTTTAATTTATGTATTGTAAAACTGAATAGAAAACTTTAAAATCACATCAAAATACTTACTTTTAGAGGCACTTAAAACATACACTCGCTCACAAGACAACCGTTTCACAGAACTCATTTAAACAACGTGTCACGCATTGGCGGTGGAAGTGATAACCAACATAACAGAATTTGACAGAGATTTACGCGCCAAATTTGAAATTACACATATGGTCCAAGGTACATGATGGATCAAGGTACAAGCTTCTCCCCTACTTGTATTTTCCATTGATCTTGTGAACCCATCCGAAAATTTTAGCCAAACTCAAAAATTCTTGTTTGTATCACCAGGAGAACAAACTATTTGATAGACACCAACTGGGAAAGTAAGTGCTAAAAAATTTCACTGCCTCCTGGACTATTAGAAAAGGCTTGTGTTGCCAACATAGTTATGCGTGAGTTACTAAATTTTTGACTTGGGGAATTATCTTTAAAAAAAAAAAACAGACTTTACAAAGCTCCCAAAAATCTCTGCTAGCCCCCCTCCCACCGGTATAAATTTTGAAATTTGTTGTTCATTTTTTTCTCCGAGTTTTGCTCCGTTTAACTCCATTATCAGAGAGTTTTGCTCCATTACCAGGAATGACCTACAGAGCTCCAAAGAATCTCTTCCTGCCCCCCAGTAAAAATTTTTAAACTTGAAATTACTCATACCGAGTTTTGCTCCATTTTGCACCATGATCAGCTCGTTTTGCTCCATGACGAGCCTCTTCCGGGTGCCACGCCTTGAGCGCTCTCGAGTTAGTCCGAAGTACTTCGACTACAATTTTACACATTCAGGCAAACAGAGCTTGGCGCTCTCGAGCTGCTCTCACTTTCCTCGCCTCTTTCCCCTGATGCACCTGTAACTGATTTCCAAGCGTTCGAGTGCAAAGCGCATTGAGTATAATGGCCGTGAAATGCTCGAGGTGCTTCGCACACTGCACCCGAAAGCAGCTCTGGAATGAACTACACAGCTCCCAGGAATCTCTCCTAGCAACACGAGTGAAAATTTTGGAGTTTCTATATGCGCATTTTGTTCTCCGAGTTTTGCTCCATTACCTGGAATGACTTCTATTAGGGTCCTTATTCTTGGAACAGGGGAGCAGCGTTTCCATGAGAACGAGTGTTCCGCCTTTATTGAAGTCCACAGCACGGATCATGACGGACGACGTCTGAAGGAAGAGAGGAAGCCAATGCGACAGAACTCATAGCGACAGATTTTATGAACCTAGCAAACGTATCAAAACGATCGAGATATACTTAATAGTCTGTTGACTAGACAAGGACAACAAATAATGCGTAGGAGTTTTGTGTGTTCGCGGTCGCACTCCTTCGGTACTTCAAGATTTTTGCGGCGGACTATAACTCATAATATTATTTGCATAACTTTAGGTCTTTTCGGAAACACTGATCCGATTGAGCTTGAACTTGAAATCAATAAACACTCAATAGCCACACTTCTGTATATTTCAAAATAAAACAATAGGTTCAACAATAGTTCATTCCAGAGCCGCTATCGGGTGCAGTATGCGAAGCACCTGGAGCATTTCACGCCCATTATACTCAATACGCTTTGCACTTGAACGCTTGAAAATCAGTTACAGGTGCATCAGGGGAAAGAAAAGAGGCGAGGAAAGTGAGAGCAGCTTGAGAGCGCCAAACTCTGTTCGCCTGAATGTGTAAAATTGTAGCCGGAGTACTTTGGATTAACTTGAGAGCGCTCAATGCGTGGCACCCGGAAGCGGTTCGTCATGGAGCAAAACGAAGAAGAGATTCTTTGGAGCTCTGTAGGTCATTCCTGTTAATGGAGCAAAACTCGCCGATTATGGAGCAAATCTCGGAGAACAAAATGAGCATGTTCAAATTTCAAAATTTTACCGGGGGGGGCTAGGAGAGATTTTTGGGAGCTCTGTAGGTCTCTCCTGGTAATGGAGCAAAACTCACCGATTATGTAGCAAAATGGAGCAAAACTCGGAGAACAAAATGAGCATGATCAAATTTCAAAATTTTTACCGGGGGGGGGGGGGGGGGTAGGAGAAATTTTTGGGAGCTCTGTAGGTCTCTCCTGGTAATGGAGCAAAACTCGCCGATTATGGAGCAAAATGGAGCAAAACTCGGAGAACAAAATGAGCATGATCAAATTTAGGAATTTTTACTGTGGGGGGGCTGGGAAAGATTGTTGGGAGCTCTGTAATTCTCTCTTGGTAATGGAGCAAAACTCGCCGATAACGGAGCAAAATGGAGCAAAGCTCGGAGAACAAAATGAGCGTGATCAAATTTTTGAATTTTCAGTGGGGGGGGGTAGCGTTAATTCAGCCCCCCCACCTAATAGGCCACATAGTCTCTCTACTGTAATGGAGCAAAAATCGAAATTAGTGGAGCAAAATGGGAGCAAAACTATGGGATAATTTTCATCCAGAAATTTTCAGTGGGGGGGCTAACTTAACTGACCCATATTTTGCTGCTAGTCTGTTTAATACCTATTTTTTAAATGTTTGATTGAATACTGAATACTTTCTAACTGTAAATAGTGAAAATATGGAAAAAAATAGTTTTACTTTTCCCAACCATAGATTTGAATTTTCACCAAGTATCGGCTCATTCAATTCAAATTCTTCTATTCCTAGCGTTGTGAGGTACCTTCTTAGTAGGAAAGTTCTGAAATTAACAGGTTTCAAACCTTTTATAACGCGATAGAAATAATAATAGAAAATAATCATTTATATTATCAATAGTAATATAACTAGTGCAATGGAAATTATTGATTGCAAATTTGTCGAAAATTATAAATATATTTCCATTGCACGAGTTGTATTTAATGAGAGAATTTCATAAATCAAAAATTTAAATTTTTTGTCAAAAAATGTCAAAACACCAGTTTTCGCACCAGTTAGTATGCAATTATCTGATAATTTGCATTAGTGCAAATTATCGCGTAATTACAATCTGATTGGTTCAAATCAACAAGCAAAACATGTCAATTTATTGTTGGAATACCAGTTTTGACAGATGTATGAAATTCTCTAGATAATTATTTTTTTGTTTATTTCAGGTACAATGATGGCTATGTCAGATGGCATGTCCTATGGTTGGACTTCCCCGATGATACCCTACTTCAAGAGTAACGAAAGTCACATAGCCAACGTCACAGAGTTCGACACAGAATTAATGGAAACTATAGTACTATATGGGGCCACTACCGGGCTTCCGTTCACCATTTTGGGAGTTAACTATTTAGGAAGAAAAAATTGCATGATTATCTCGGCCGCAGTAGGCTGTATTTGCTGGATAATATTATTAGTAACCAATAGTTTAGCTTTAGTATTCACAGCCAGATTTTTTTGTGGCATGGCTGGAGATATGTGCTTTGTCGCTGCCCCAATGTACATTGCCGAAATTGCTGATCCACGGATCAGAGGATTTTTATCGGCTTTAATTTATTTGATGATGCTTGTTGGCATAGTTACAGTATATGCAGTGGGTTCCTTAGCGCCATATTCTGCAGTACCAATAATTGGTATTATAATTACAGCCTGTCAAGTAATATTTTTTCCATTTATGCCAGAGTCTCCATACTATTTGATATATAATAACAAAAATGAATCTGCTAAAAAGTCCCTCGTTCGTTTACGAGGAGTGAATGCTGATATTGATAATGAGATAATGGAAATCAAACAGGCCGTGGATCGGCAAAAGTCTGAAAAAAGTCGTCTACAGGATGTTGTGTTGATAAAAAGCAATAGACGGGCATTGATAATTATGTTAATATTAAATACTGCTCAACATTTTGTTGGAATTAGTGTCATACTAATGAATTTGCATGTTATATTAGACGAAGCGGGTTCAGTTTACATGAAATCATCAACCGCAGCTATTACTTTTTCTGTAATCATGTTATGTTTTGCTACATTTGCTTCAGGCATAATCGATAAATTCGGAAGAAGGATTCTACTTGTGTCTTCTGCAACTCTTACTGGTATTATTTTACTCGTAATTGCTGTATATTTTCACTTGAAAAATTTAGAATACGATGTTTTATTCATCAGTTGGGTACCAGCTGTTGGTATAATGATATACGCTGCTACTTTTAAATTAGGAATGGGCTTAGTACCAATTGTAATGACCGCTGAAGTATTTCCAACCACGATCAAAGCCGTAGGTATGACGCTATCCGACGTCATCTACGTCATTGCCTCAATAATCTCTATCACGTTATACTCGACATTGTTTCAAATGTATGGAATGCACGTGCCGTTTTATTTGTTTAGTGCTTGCAGCTTTCTTGCAATATTTTTTATGATAGCTTTTATACCGGAAACGAAAGGTAAAACTTTGGATGAAATCCAACTAATGCTCAAAGGTGATAAAAATGGAAATGTGGGAAAATGAAAACAGGATTGTGGTGCTTGAAGTGGAGTAAATTTTGAGTGTAATTTTTCATTTAGTATATTTGGGAATGAAAACCTTAGAAGTAGGAGTAGGTAGTCTATGTTTCGTAGTAGAGTGACCCTACAAACCCTGTCAGCAGATCAAGAAATAATAGTCCAATTTATTTTGTATAGTCATAGAAGCCAAAGTATCAATAATTTAAATATTTATGTATAAACTTTTTGAAGAGAAATACCGTTGTTGATAATGTTGAATATCATAATTAAAGTGTCTCTCAATGAAGCAAATTGTTATAGTTAATTAGATTTTTATTCAATTTCTATCGAGAACCTTTTGCTTTTTATTCTCGCTACTATCGAAGAGCATAATGTTTGTATTCCTAATTTTCAATAATTGGTTCGTTTTATATATTATGGGTCGTTCAGTTTCGTCTACGCGCCCTGTATATAGTTGTAGGTTTAATTGGATATTTAGGATGTCAAATCTTATTAGGGAATGGAAATCGGTTTCGTTTGCACTCCTTCGCATTGGACTTGAACTCCCTTAAAGAGGTGGCCAACTGAGTGGAGTTTGGAAGTAAAACCAAGTAAGGTGAAAAAATATCCTTTTCAGCTTCGATATCTTTCAATTTCAATTTAAAATCTTTCATCGATTACCATTCTATCAGCAACCTGTTGATTTTCCTGTTTTAATTTCGCATATGGGTTAAATAATTGCATAAATAAATAGGTATCGTCAAGTTGAGGTGTCTGCCCGTTTACACAAGCGTCCACGTTCGGAGCAGTGACATGTGTTCCCAGTTAATATCAAGTAAAAATGCACCTTTCCTTAATTTTATCTCATTTTTTCTTAGAGCATGTTTTAACTACCTATGGATAAGTACGTACCTTCGTACTTTTTTGATACACTAAATTTCTCACCCCTTTCAAGATTGAAACATTTTAACCCAAATGGTAAATTTACATCATATCTCAGCAACAAATGACTTATATTTTAACCTCAATTGACTAACTTTAGTTATTGGTTTGTGGGTACTATTCAATCTCGGTTTGCTTCCCCTTTACATAAATCTCCTTCAAAATTTACAGTTTTTTCAGTACCATGACTTATAAGTTCAATTGTATTTTTGTAGACATATTCTGTATCAAGTGCACCCATAATATGGACTGTAGCTTGATTTCTAGGAAGTGGGACAGACTTTGAGCTTATAAGATTTTTTTGTGTTTACTCAGTAATCATCTCTAGTTTTTTATTCATTGTGAAAAACCCTGACGTAGTCTTGTCTATTTTTTTCTTCTTGTAACGGATATTGCAATTTCGCTGTTTGATGAATGAAACTTTTCTAGGTATACACAGGTTCAGTTTGACAAATTAATGTAACTTTTCTTAAGTGAAACTTTTGCAATTGCATTTTCTGTCCAAGTTCGGCTATTTTTACTTTACTTAGCTGTATAACCACATTCTTTCATTTATTTAATTTTTCTCATGCTTTTCATTCAATCCTTGCCTATAGGAGTTAACATTTATTGGCTGTTTAGTGCTAATTTTTATATTAAATTTATTGGTAACGAAAACTTGCTGTGTCCTATAAGTATTCTTTAATTTTTAAGTTCCTATTTCTGCTACTATTGTTCATTTTTGAATGATTTATTGAATATTAGTTTGGTACTTATTAAGTTTGAAGTACTTATATGAATATTAGTACCTGCTACTTAATACAAATACATATAATGTAGTATTAGTAAGTTTACAAATAAATGAAACTGGAGTTTACCTACCTACTAGAAATTTACTTACCATTGAAATTAAATGAATTTATACTCGAAAAAAATCGTTTAATTATAATTAAGTATTTACTATAGCTAAGTTTCAATGGTAGATATTCCAAAATAAAATTTACAGATGATGAAGCTCGTGTAATAAAGTATTTTTACAAAAATTAATAATTTATTCTTCATTCTGCTCTTACCTGTCTTTTACTCGTACTTGTACCTACCTACTACAGGCAGTAAAGTATTTACAAAATTACCAGACGTCACCAATGAAGCAGATACAAAAAAAGTAAAAGAGCCTAATCGAAAGAGTAGACAAATATTAATGGTTGAGTCATGCTGGGGTGCATATATGTCTTTTTCCTGGCAAGCATGTTTCCCGCAAGAGGAGGTAAGAATATTCATTTCTGGTTTCCACATTGAGCCTCGCCTCCCTTGAAAAAAATGGTAACTATGGAGGCATCTCTAAGTTTCGCAGGTATCGTCTCAGTAATCCATATTCAACTTATTTTAGGATGTGGGTTTGGGCACTTAGTGTGGTGCCTCCTTGTTTAAAGAATTCAGCAGGAATGTCGTCAGTACCAGTTGACTTTTTGTTCTTTTAGTGGTTTCTGTGGAATTTTGTTGAAGATGTCACTATAAATGTGTGATTCTCCGTCAAATAGTTCTTGAAAGTGTTCCTACCACAGAGAATGATTGAACGAACTGTAAGGAATTGAGTCCTTGAGTGGTTGGCCCGTATACCATCTTAGTAGCCGAAAGAACGCCTTTGTGCTGTTGGTTGGATTGAGCAACTGCATTTCGTTTGATTTTGTTATACAGCATTGATTCTTTAATGCTCGCGTTTGCCTTTGAACTCCTGCTTTTACTTGTTGGAATTGTCTTTTTTACAGACGAGTTGGGGTCGCTGATCGCTTTTACATTATGTGCTCTTCTTTTTCTTTCTACAAGCTCTTGAATTTTAGTTTCGTTCTCATACCACCTGTATTGATGTTTCTTTTGTATGTAGCCGACCATTGCATCCGAGGCAGATGTTATTATTGTCTTCAATATTTTCCAATGCTTTCCGGGTACTCTAACGGAAGTTTCTGGCTTAGAGAGGCTTGGAAGTTTGTCCTGATATGATCGTCTTGAAGGCGTTCTAGGTTAAATTTGCGTTTGAACTTCTTTTTTTGACACCTACACGTTAGAAAGATGCGCAAGTTCATTGTGATCAGTTTGTAGCATTTTCAATTTCTCTTGAAGTATGCTACTTTGTTTTGCTCTGGTGGATATATATACATATAGAACTATAAATAAATAAATGAATAAATAACTATCTTTTCTATGCCCAGATTTTATTACCTTGAGTACAGCCTTCTACTAAAAGTTTTTTGGTTCAGGTTTGCAATTGTAGTTAATTGATCTAGGAAGGTTTGATTCAATACGGCAGGGCCCGCTGTTATTGATAAAGGGAGGTTGTAATATGTAAAAGAAACGAAAAATTTGTGAAACGTCTACTTTATTATTAAAATAATTCGTACCGTTCTCATCCTAGAACTAACGAGGGAAAGAGCACGGCAGAGAAACCCTCGATCTAACATTCCTCAAAAATCGAAACATACTGTGTCATTTTAATAATAATTGTGAGTCATTAATTCAATAATTTAAGTCAATAAAAGTTTAAATTAGGTACCGCCCCTGTTCTTGTGCTAAAATTTCAATTAAACACACTAAATTCAATCAACACTACCTATATTCAATACTGAGGAATTTTTTTTTGTTAGTTAGTCAGTTTCCCAGCAGGTACTGAGGTCCCATACGGGAAGCTACTCAGCTATAGTTGTTTTTGAGCCAATCAGCCTCATGCAGTAAGTACATTGACTTTAATTTCAATATTAAAATAATTTCAATAAATTTTTACTTTTATTTCAATATTGAAAAAAAACGGTACCTATGCTGTAAGTACGATTGATTTAACTTTATTGAAATGAAAAAACATTGAAATTAATGTCAAGTTTTTATGTGGCAACGTTGTGAAATCAGAGTAAAAGAAGAGTTTTTGAGGGGTTTCTAACCTAAAAATGCAAACTGGAAGTTTGTTTTGGTTTTCCTTGCCAAGTCTAATTTCTAATTTTACTTTCTTGACCCTTTTTGTGGATTTAGAGTGAGTGGAAATTTATTCTTGAGCTTATGAAAAAATCTAAATAGATCATTGGCAAATTAGAACATGGGTAAAACAATGCTTTGGGGTTTATTTTCTCAAATAGATTTTGAGGAAATCAAGAATCGAGAGCGAAGTCGAAAGCCAGATGAATTTATTTTGTATAAAGATGGGAATACATATAGTGAACATATACCTAGGTCGAGACTTAAGTACAGTGTCTAGGTATTCACAATTATTTCAACTTATCTAATTTTGTTTTAGGAAAGTCCGTTGATGTAAAAATACATGGAAAAAATTCAAGGCTCTAAACATTTATTTATTTGCCATAGGAAAAAGACTGCAAGTCCTGAATAAATTAAATATTATTCTGATATTACTTCAAATAAGTAAATAAAAACATTACCAAAATATGCAGTTGTATTTATTATTAATTTCAGGACAATAATTTTCCACCACACTGTTTTTCATAATCGACCCTGTTGTAAATAAAGAATAGTTTCCTTTAAGACAATCAAAATTCACTCCTCCTGAATTTTCAACTTGATTTTTTCAGCTCCAATTTCGTCATCTATCATCTATCGATTCGAAGCTCTTCCCTAATCAAGTTTAAATCATTTCATATCATAGATCATATCTGTACTGTATTGTAGAAAGTCCATTTTTTAATAGACAATTGTGCTTTTGAGACAAATTTTAATATGTAGGAAGCTACACCAGCTGTTACAGGTTCAAATTTCAATCCGATTATTGGCTTGATTTCAATATAGTAAATTAATTTTTGATCAATATTATGCAATGAATTATTCCTAGTTGTTGACAGGTCTCCGTTTACTAAAATATTATTATTATTGTGAACTAGGCTTAAGTGAATATGTACATTTAAAACAAAGAACTTATCGGTTGCTCCATCTGTTGTTCCAAGTAAATAATTTTAAATGGTAAATTTCGTCAATAAAATAGGATTTCTTTCTATAAACAAATGAAAAAAAAAAAAAAAAAAAAAAGGTAAAATGAAACCTTACAATAGATAGCGTATTTATGTGCAGTTTTCTGCTATTATGGTTTTTGTCTTTTACCAAAAATTTATTCAGTGACTTCATAAAATTGTCGGTACCATCTGGTTAATTTTAAGTAGATAATTGATTTATTGTTTTTGAGAGATAGGCAGCTATTTCTGAGTTCTGGTTCTGATGAGCTGGTATCCTATAAAAACAAAGTGGAAAAATAGTTTGGATGTTTTAATTAAATAGGAAAGTTTACATTACTTTAGATTAAGTTCTACCATTGGTTCTACCAGTTCCATATTGACAAAGATGTCAATGACGTCTTGGGTAATTCAACTCAGGTCGGTAGAATTCTCTCAATTGACAGGATTCTGGACTCGTGCTGGAGGGGATTCGTAACCTCCTGCTTTTAGAAGAAGATTCCTGACCAGGTGGTTGATTTTTCTTCTTGGCTCTGCCGATTTACTAAGTAGCCCGCCTTCACTTTAATTTTGAAATTAAGTTTCGTTTTGCCTTCCTTATTACGCTGTGCAACTTATTACGCTGTGCTGTGTTCTGGCTTTATGCCGATTTAACATAATTAAAGTTAAAATTGACAGACGGTTACGATTTAACTTTCCACTTCGAGACCATCCAACAATAAGGGTAAGATTTCTCAGTTTTCTTAGTTTCTTTATGTTCCCTTCCCAAAACCATCCTTACTCAAAAAATGTAACTATTAACATACTGCTCATGTGCTCATAACTGCTTGCACGTCCCTATAACTGATTACACGTGTCTCTATTGGCTTCCATCTACCTCTATCTGCCTCTATCAGTTCTACCTACTTCTACTGGCTTATAACTGCTTCCATCTGCTTGCTTATGACTGTCTAAGTACCCAAACCTAGTCCTGGTTTCGAGGCCTAGCTATACCACCCCCATTAGTGGCAAATTACAGAATAGACTTCCCCTATACTAGACCATCCTACGTTCTATCTTCTGGAAGGTAATGCTCGAGGTACTGTTGTAAGTTTTGGCAGTTTAAAGGAACAATTGTTGGGTAAGCCCCTTTTTATTATCAACAGTGGATTCTGATTCATGGGCAGCAATTTAAAGTATAGCCTAATTCCTGGATGAATAGAGGTATATTAAGTTTATAGGTTAGTTTCATATATTATTAATCAGTACCTTTTATATTGAGCTCTATGACTGATTATTTCATTCATTATAAAATAGACCCATCAGACAACGTCATTTTTTGAATGAATTTTGTTTAAATAAGTGATTATTTTACAAGACCTTGTTTATCAGCGATTAAATTCTTGTTTACCTTTATTGGCAGAATTTTGATAGAAATATTCTGACATTTTATAATAAATAGAACTCTTTGGATAGGATTGACGCCAACAATTCAATCCTAATTATACAGGAAATAATCTAACCGTATACCACTCGACCTATAAATTTAAATGGATTAAACTATCCAAATATTTTTTGCATAATTTTGCTTTTTGGCAAATAGTTTCATGCACAATAACTTTTAAATAAAAGCCCTCGACCGCTTCGCGGTCTCGGGCTTTCATTAAGTTATTGTGCATTCAACTATTTTCCAAGCAAAATCATGCTCAAAATATGTTGGATAGTTTAATCGATTAATTTCTCGATAAACTCTTGTGATATAATATATGATTATTGGGACTATAATAACTAGAATATAACTTACGTATTAAGGTAAAGCTTTGCACCTCAAAACTTTTGATAGTATTTGTGCTTTTGATGCAAATTTGCATTATTTAATTTAATAATAATAGCTTGACTTGGGTAAACAGATGGTCACTTTAAAAATCAGCTGATGAATACTTATTAGGTATTAATTTAGAAATGAATTTAAGACACGTAGGACATATTCAATTGTATTATAATTAGGATTTATGAAATAAAAGAACCCTCATATTAGTGTTTATTTTGGAGCACTTTCATTTTATTGAATTTCTTAACACAATTTCAGAGTGACAACATCAGGGCTTCTTATTTTTAGTGAGGTTTGTTTAGGAGAGTACTTTTGCTATGTTTCCTGTTTTGTATTTAAGAGCGTATACTTTTCTGGAGGGCTAAAACAGGTGGCGTCCTATATTATTTATAATCCACGACCACTCTACTGAAGAGTTAGCTGGCTGCCCTATAAGAAAGTACTCCAGTATAGTAGCATTTCGTTGGCTACCTTCTGTTATAGTAGTTCTGGTCCTGGACTGACAATAGTCTGGGCAAATCAGGAGAAAATCTATGTCACAAGATTCTGATGTCACAAAATTCAATTAAATATTATAAGAAAAATCAATTGTGACAAATTTTAATAAATTTTCTTATGACAAATAAATTATATTTTTTTTTTCTTTATGACACAGCATCAGTTGTAGAATTATGAAACTTTAAAAGACAGGGGGGCCTATGGGTATAGGTAATACCTACCTATATTAGAAGATGAAAGGAGTGTGAGTATATGGGTATACATGTACCTTCACTGCTTTAAGGCCCTATAACTGGGTACTGCAAAGCAAATTGACTAATTTGCACTAAGCGGCGAAATGTGATTTGATTTGAATTACCCATTTCTGAACTTTATTTTGAATCGATATAGAAAAACAAATTCATTTCTTTTCCACAGCTTCATAAAAATTGAATTTTATATAATTAAAATAAAACAAACTCCCAACAAAATCTCAAAAAATAAATGTTTCAGGTTAAGTTTTGTTGTTGACATCATTTCAAGGTGTCTAACGGGTCGAATTTTGCGTGACGTTAGGATTATTGACTTTTTTCAAGTTGACTTGGAATTTATTTCAATATTTTTCCTTACTGCATACTAAATATTGAAATTCACAATGTTACTTGACTTCATTTTAAGATCTTGAAATTATAAAATGTCAATAATTGAAAAGTGGAGTTACTGCATAGCAAATATTGACTTCAAGTCAAGGTACATACTGCATAAGGCTGATTATCTCTAGATTGATTATTTCAATTTGCTAGGATATTCTCTCGTCAGGGTAGGAAAATGTTATTAAATTCAACAAGGCCCTAATGTACGCTCTAAATCGAAAAATCAAGATCCCAGCACAAAAAGAGAGCACATAATTTGTCTAGGTTTCAATTTACTCTTTATCTGTGTTGTTTACAGCATGAAACGATTTTTGGTAAATACATGAACAATGCATATGTTATAAAAAATGTTATAAACAAACAAAAAAACATAAAAATGAAATAAAATGATACTTGCATAAATAATTGAACTCTCAAAAACAAAATAACAATTATTCAACTAACCTGTGATCGTTCCTTGATACTCACACTAATAACAAATTGGATTGAACAATCAGTTTAATGCAAAATAAAAATAAAAATTGAATAATGAATAATTACAGACACGCGTCTTAGGGACCAGCCCAGCTTGTTCTCTAGTCTAGTTGCTTATTCCCTTGTATCCTCTTGGGTTTCGGTACCTTCGTTTTCTGTGGCGCGCCCCGTTCAATCATAAACTTGACCGCGCATACATGATTGCAACATTTACTTTTATTCAATGAACGTTTTTTTTAAGATTTGAAGTAATAATATTTTAAATAGGTGGTTTTCCTCAACGTTTTTGAGTTTGTACAAAAAAAGGTCAATTTCCCATTGGCCTTTTTATGTTTTTCTCTTGTTTCTGTATCTACACCCTATCAAGCAAGTGGCAATAGTGGTTTAACCCTATCTTGAAGCCAAGCATTCAAAGAAGCCTTGAATGTACTTGGAGATTGGTTATTTTCCCGACAAGTAGTCCTGGACCTGGTGGATCGCCCGTAGAATTTTGAGGACTTTGTTGTCCTCTCACTCTTCTAAGAGCCGACGAGACCCATCCAGTATCTATTAACAAGGTTTCAGTATTATTGTGCTGTCTTTGGGAACCATCCAAGCTTCTAAATTAATCATCTGGCAGTGGATTTTCCATCTTATTGAGAGCTGGAGCCTCATTTAATTACCAATAGCTTGAGGGTATTTCTGGATTATAAAACCAGCAGACTTTTAGTCCTATTTTGCTAAAAGATTATTATTTTTTATATTTTAACCCTTATAGTTTTAAGTTAAATTCTTACCTTCAAGTTTATGTTAATCACTTGGGTATAAATTACACTCAAATTATCAGACATTTAATTATTTCCACTACACACTGTACACCAGGTATAAATAGATCTATTTACAAAGGTATTTTATGTGAATTGTTAGAAACTTAAGGAACATATAACCATAGCGAACTACCGCCCTATTTGAATTCGAACTCCTCTGCTTATTGTAGATAATTTTAGGAACATGTATAGAGAACACCACCTTAAAGTGAGGATTTGATTTACTCATGTTTCGACGATTGTGTAGTTATTTAAAGTAGGTAGGTACCGACTATTTCTAGTATCCTAGCTTATCAGTTATTATTTTTTGTTTTGTTCACCAGCTGATTTTCGCCGGGGACTATTTAGGAGCGCTTTCAATTTTCAATTTATTGTAAGTGTAATTAATATTTGAGGTCAAATTCGATTACATTTATTGATCTGAATCGAGGCGTTTCATTGTACCCTTTCAGGCAGTTTTAGTTTGACAGGTGCAGTAACGTTTAGCTGTTGAGTTTTCCTGTTTTCTTTTTTTTTTTTTGTTATAGGAACTTCGTTGAATTGAAGGGCATTTAAACAGGTGGCGCTTTTTATTTAATCACCCACACCACTCTCCACTGCAAGACTTATTCGGCAGCTTTTAGAAATGACGGTGTCCTTTCTCGTCTTGTAGTACTGTGGCCACCTTGCTAGATTGTCACGTCTCTATGTTTTAATTTTCACTTTATTTCTATTTTTATTTCATAACACATTAGCTTTCTTCGTTTTGATCTTGTATTTGTGCTGGTATCCATAGGTGTACGAATATTCCACCTGACAATATTGAGTTTGTTTTGTTTCGACAGACAAAATGGGGTGCACCCTCTGGACGTGGTGATTCAGTCGGGCAGCTGTTGGATGGCGATTTTTAGAGCAACTCTTATAGCACCGTCCCTTTCAGGGTGAGCAGAGTGGATTCTAAATAGGGCTGCTCAGTCACGGATGCAGCCCACGAGTTGCTCTACAGCCAATCCTTGAACAAAACGGCGATCACACTATCCGCTACCTACGTGCCGGTTTGTCACTAAGAGCCTCCAGACTACACTCTTGTCGTAACTTGCCGATCGCCAAAGGTACGCCGATAGTACTACCACTGCAAAGTTTATTAAACTCTAACACTAACATAATATATAAATCCAGTATTTATTTACAATCAAGTTTAAAGAAACGATGTTGGATGCAAAAAATTATTAACAGTTTCAACAATGGAATTAATTGGATTGGCAATTATATTTTTAATGGTGCTCAGGATTAGGTCATGAAGAACTCCAGTAATAACGAAGCTCATTGCGTCGGTAATCCAATCAATAAGAGAGTTTCCAGATACTTTGATTGTAATAGACCTGAAAATATTGTCTTGAGTTAAATTAATTTGAACAAATCTTAGATTGGTTATACCCAGTATGTTTGAAATTAATGGAATTCACGAATAGTAATCCTTGTTTTAGGTCAAATCCAAGTTGCACGTTGATGTGGACGTGTTTCACATTTCCATGAACGTGTCCAGTCATACTGATAAATGTAACTTTAGTATGATATTTGTAAATAAACTGAAAAAAAAAAGGAAAATATTATAAATTACTGTTTATACAAATGCAGATATCAAGTTTTCTATAAGGTTCTGACGATATTTGAAGTCACTAGTACCTACTACGTGATGCGTGATGTGTGGGATTATACATAGGTAAGTGAGATTACTTTTCCAACCTTGAAAAAATAGACATAAAACTCAAAAATCACGACAAAACTTCTAGCACGCAATACTATATTACTATTTATGTTCGCTTCGCCGTTCAATTTAAATTTTTTCGTAACTTGTTTGACGTTCAATTCTAAATCCTTCTCAACTCATTTTCTCGTGAATTTCTTCTAGAAATCTATTGTCAGGTGGATCGATAATTAATTCAACCGGTAGATTATTCCTTCAAGGCTAAACTCGTCGAACATAACATTCATCGGGTCTAAATCCGATAGCTTGGTTTCAATTTTGACTACATCCACTTTTGTTTTTGTAATCGAATCACCCGTTTCTCTTGTTTCCAGCATTTCTCCGGACTTTGTGATTCTTGTTCTTACATTTTGATTCAAGATCCGGATCTTTGCAAGCAACATACAGTCACTGAATTCTTTGTCTACTTCTGATGGAGCTACATTGGAATTTTGTCGGTTCTGAATGTCCCTTAATTTGCAATTGACTCTTGTTCTACCTACTCTAAACTGTGAGTGATTTGCTTTTCTGTTAATCACTATACGAAACCATTTGATATCTTTATAGCTAGAATTTTCTTTTCTTGATAGCTCCATTCATTAACCGGTTAAAACTTAAAGTAAGACGGTTAACAGAATGAGTTCCTAATGCCGACAAGGTGGTCGTACGTTGCCGGCATTGACAGTAGAAGATGACAAGTCAAAACAATTATGCACGTATTTTTTTTATTATTTATTTCTAAACGTACCTTTAAATCCTCAAATCTTATAGTCATTTGGGCAATTAGTTTTTGTGTGTCCGTATTATATGAAAGAGTGGCATTTTCGTATCTTTCGATTTTAGAAGTATCATTAAGCTGCCCCTCTGTCAACTTAGTTTTACCAACGTGAATCTAGAATAAGAATAAACGCAGTAGATATTATTTCTATAAATATTCGATTGTATGAAATCTCACGTCAATTTTTTGGTCAGGTAAAGAAGTGGGATCAATTCCATTTTTAATTATCAATTCTCTGACGTTCGACAGGAGCCTATCCATATAATCGTTTAACTCTACTTCGATGATGGTATTTTGCAGTTTCCTTGAAATAATTTGATTAAATATTAATTGGGCGACATTTTTTATAATCTCCATACTATTAATATTAAACTAGAAATTTTTTTAACTAAAACTAGTAGAAATCACGTGTTAGCCGCCAACCCGCAACTATTTATTTTGGTAAATTTCACACTGGAGTCATTCAAAAAATTAAATAGGAAACTTCTCCTGAAGGAAAAGTTATTTGTTTTAAAAAAAATCCTCTTAATATGAAATATAATATAATATAAATCTATAACTTACGATAAATCATGAAGATTCAGTTCCTTATTGACCAATCCCCTAAGTTCCTCAAGTTCTTCCGGAGACAAATCTCGATCAAAATCGAAATTGCGAACTTCATTTTCATTTATTGCAAAAGCAATCGAAGAGCAGAATCCAAAAAACAAGCAAATAGGTAAATAAATCTTCATTATTGCTTCTTTGTTTATTAACGTATGTTATTTCAGATGATGAACTCTTATCAAAAAAATTTGATCATATGAAATAATGAGAATGACAAAATTGTTTCTGTTGGATTTATCAGACAATGGTTATAAGTAGGTACCTGATGACGTATTTTTTAAATTATTTTTCAATTTTTACACTGTTACAAAATTTAGGAAAACTAGATTGGTTTCTACTTATCTACTCGAGAAACAGGTGTTTCCTATCAAAATTGTACAATCTTGGAATACTTGGAATCAGAAAAGTTATCGAGTCTTATTTCGACAAAATTACGAGAGCATACTTTGAGTTGCTTGTTAAAACAGATTGATAAACAAAACAATATCCGAGTCATCATCTGAAACAAGTATTTTCTACATAAATCTCTGAAGAAGATGCAATTATCAAAAAGGAAAGGGTTGTTGTGAGATATGGTACGTACGTTAAAATCGAGTAGTCAATAATCGACTACTTACTCGAAACATAAAATGGACGCGAAACTAGGTATATTGACGTATCTAAAATAATAGGGGCATCTCCCTTCGGTTAATTAAACCCAATCGTCGTCCAAAAAAAGTTCATGAGCTTCAGGAAAATCATTGATCACGTTATATTTAAATAACATTCGGTTGCAAGTTGAACGAATTATTGAATTATTAATTCGTACGTACAAGGAACCTAAACCCACGGAAGGTCAATGTCAATGACAGTTCACTAGTAATTATTATAATCAGCGGTCACGCATCATGGTTGCTTGATTAATATAGAATAATGGTTATTGGAAGACGATTGGGTTTAATTAACCGAAGGGAGAAGCCCTATTATCCTAGATACGACAATATACATCCCAATGTATTCCGAACTGAGAAGACGTGAAGATTTCCTCAGGATTAGTTTTTGAATCCTATAACAATCAATACAGATCCAACATCTTTAATATCATCATAATTCATCACTCTTTACAACTACAAGCACCACTGATGCCCAAAATTAGCACAACCTAAGACAAAACTATTATTAGCACCATTTGAATATTGTCACGGATTCCGAGTTCACTAAAATTCCCTACAAAAACAGTTAAAACTTTTATTAAACTAATTGACTTTATACAAAGTTCACTTATCAAAACACACGACAAATATCGAATTAAGTCTGACTTACTCAAGGTTCTTCTTCAGTATATTCGGAATTCATCTAGAAAATCCTGGATTCCTACTTGACTAGAATTCTCCGAATTGTTTACGCGACGCGCAGACAATTACATTTCTTAGAATCCGTCCGGGCTACCAAAGCAATTTAAAAATGATAATGCTTTTTCATAGGTAAAAAAATAGCTATTTTCCTAACGAGTGCGGAAATTTCTTCCCGCAAGAGTTAGGAACTATATTTTTTCTACGAGCATACTAAAGCTGATGTTACGAAGAGTTTAATTTAAATAAAATGCGATTATATGCAGAAGGTAGAATTAAAAATGTATTAAAAGGCATTTATAAAAAGGTAAAGGTTCAGGTATAGGTGTATCAACAATACAAACAATTCCATGTCACAATGATTATTTCAAACTCTTCCCGCACTGAGTGCGGGAAGAAATCTCTTCCCGCACCGGTGCGGGAAGAAAGTCTTCCCGCACAGCAAATCGTGCGGGAAGAGCCATTTCCCGCACGCTCGTAGAAAAAGTATTTTGTCGTCAAAGTGTTTAATGAAATTTTTGTCTATGTCCCACTGATATACTTTTAAGATCGGGCACCTAGGCAGGACAATCTTCGCTGTTTTATTTCATGTTTAACGCAGTTTTGAGCATGGAAAAGGTAAAATTTAACCATTATTAATTGAAACTTCATAAAAAAGGCGGCTCAGTTGATTTCTTTGAAGTCACGTGGGAATCCATAGGCGTCTAAATATTATTATCATGACAAATGAAAACAAATTGGTTAATAAAGAATAAACATACTCCAGATATTTCTATAAAAACTGAAATGACAAACGCCATTGCCCCGAAATTCTAGCTGATTTACCTCGAGAATACAGTGGAGTTAATACATTAAATAAATGGGCAAAAATAATATAGTAGGTAATCCTTAAAATTCCGTTTTAAACTATTGAAATTAAGGGGTATTTTTCTAATTTTGAGTAGTCACCATAGAGGTGCGATTTTCAATTAATAATGGTAATACTTTACTTATTCATAACGTGGGTGGTTTTAAAGTTTCTGATTTTCCTTTCAGAAGTGATTACTGGCTGTATGATGCTCTCTCAATGCTGTAATATTGAACTTTCTAGCAATAAATTGAAAATAGCAATTACTGCAGATTTTGTAATATCTTCATGTAAGTACATATCTTACGATAAATTTCACCATTTTTATTGATTCTATCTACTCGCCTTTATTTTTCTAAATAACTAATAAATAGATAATTATTGTAAATTTAATGTGATTACCGCCATCTGTTGATCAATCCACGGACGACGGCTTTCTGATTTCATTTTTGGTGCAACAGCACCTATTCTCTCTTTTTAATATTCTACACAAAAATATCCTTATTAGGATTAAGGCCATTTAGCTGACATAGAGAAGTTCAATATTATTCCTTTTTCGTTTTTTTTTATATTGTGGCGCTTTCACCAGCATGTACAGAATCAAATCTGAAATCTAGAACTGACTACGTTTCTCAGGAGAAGAGATTATCGCGTTTCTGGATTCAACAAGAATGGAATACGGATATATAAAGGCCGGTATTAGTTAGTAGGTTTGGAGTTTAGGATTGGCTGTGATGCGTTTTAGATAGTGATTATTCTAAGAGTTGTAAAGAGTTAAGTTGTTTGAGTTAATTAGTGAAGTAAATTAGTGTCAGAGTGTGTAGTAACGTGGAATAAATTATTGTTGTGGTAATTGGACTTCGATTTTGGAATAAACGAGTCCAAGATTTGTATCACGCAAGCCAGAGCCATGACATTAGTGTCAGAAGCGGAATATAAATCGAGGACTGCAAAATTAAATCCGATTGCAGAGTAGTGTGGACACTAAGTAAACACTGGGACAATTAGTCAGTGTCAGCAGTGACAATAACAATAAGAGACTTAACCGATTGTTTAAATTACCCCGAAAGTGACTGTATACCCGACTTTGATTGTGTTAGTGAATTTCCAAGTAAGTTCTAGAAAATTCTATTTGGAAACCAAAGGAGATATCTAATTTGTGATTTCACCGATGTGTTTGCTATATCAATCGACATTCAGAGAAGACATTTCAAGAAAATTCTAGAACAATCTATTCGGGAATAAAGCAAGTTATATACCTAATGTGAAACTTCAATCAAAGACCAGGAAAGATATTTCAAGAAAGTTTGAGTGAAATTCCAGAACATTCTGTATATGCGTATTACAAACAATAAGCAAAAATGGAAGAACAAAAACTTGAAGAACTTCTGCGCAAAATGTTGGAGCTTCAAGAGACCAAACGACAACAAGAGAAACAAGACGAAGAGGCCAGGTGACAACAAAAAGGCTAGAAGACATTGGACAACTGAGGAAAATATTTCAAGCCATACAAGAAACTGTCGCTAACCTAGAACAAAAGATTACGGATGTAGAAGCCGAAGTTAAGCAGGATGTTCAAGAAGTTAAAAACGATGTTCAAGAAGTTAAAGACATTTTTCGAGAAGTCAAAGACGATGTTCAAGAAGTTAAACTTCCGGTGCTAACGTGGATTTATGTATATACTAACGTCGGACTCACAGTTCGCATCTCTTTTTTCATTGAAAAAAGAATGAAAACCATGCATAACTAAATCAGTTTTGGAGAAAATATATAAAGACATATCGAATGTTCAATAAGAAACAAAGCTCAAAATCCTGTTTAAAATTTTTAAATTGTAAAAATCACATAAATCTAGAACGTACAAAACAGATAAAACGGACACAGAACTTCTAACAAATAAAAAATGTCTACATTTTGAAAACCAAAACTTTTATCCTAATCTTCAAATGGCTAACTGAAATAATATCGTCAATCTTCGACACTTTCACCAGCCAAGCAGTCATTACACATGTAGTTGGCATGTTCCAAACAAATTGTTTTTTTACAGTATGCACAGCTAAATCTTGTAGGTCTATTTTTTTTCTGTTACAATAAAAGCAGCGTCGTGTTAGGTTTTTGGCTTGTGGTTCGGGTAACCCTTCCTGCAATGGCAAACGTAAAATTTCTCTAAGGCGAAGTCTAATAGTACGTGGTATTCGATTATTAGCAGCTCTTCGTCGTAATTATTCGTCTAGTAATTACATACCAAGATTCTCCAGGAATATTCTTCGAGGTGTATTATCCATATATTTCGAATTGCTCTTGGAAATAAGGAACAGCTATATTTAGTTGCATATAAAATACAACCATTGGCCAGCGAGGAGTAGCTCTGGTACAATCATAGGCCGCAAACATCTTGTCCACTGTATCAACCCCACCTTTTGTTTGATTGTAATCGATTATTATTTGTGGTTTTCCAGTTGCTTGATCTATTTTATCTTCATTATGGTGCATGGTTGATAACATGAGAAATTTTTTATGGGTATATACGATGTTATGGTTGCTTTGTCTTGGAATGCAAACATGCTTGTCTTTTCGGGTCATTTAGCAGGTTGGACAAATTCAAGTGGAAGCTCCCTTCTGTTTTTTTCTCATGGAACCTACCTAGAATCGTGAGTTTATAATTTGTTAAAAGTGTGTTAGCAACAGCCATGTTGGTAAAGAAGTTGTCCATTATAATGTTTCTGCTGGTTCCTGAGATGAGGCGACAAAGACGGGAAAGCAGGGACACATTCTCAGTTTCAACTTTATAGGTTCCAATCGGTTGTTGTCCAACATAAATTTCCATATTTGCGGTATAAAACAATTTGGCGTCTACTAGAGAATATATCTTGATACCATATCGACTAGGTTTATTGGGCATATATACTCGACAGTTGCATCTCCCTCGGAATGCCACCAACATTTCGTCCACTGTTATGTTTTCGGAAATACAAAAATATTTGGACACATTAGAATTGAACGAATCAAAGATTTCCCGGATTGGAGCTAATTTGTCGTATTTTTGTCTCTCTATTCTAGTATTTTTATTGTCAAAATGAATAAAATGCAATAAAAATCTAAGCCATTCCCGAGACATTGTCAAAAGAAATATTTCCATGGATGTTCCATTTGTTCTAAATAAATCAGAGGCATTTTTTTGACATCGAACATATATAAAGCAATTCTATCAACTCAATAATGTCTGTGGACCTTGCTGATCAGTTGTTTGGATTGACATTGCAAATTCCAATGTAGATATTTGTATTATCAACAATGACTTGCAACACTTCACTTGTAAAAAAAAACTCGAGATCTCTGCGGCAGATTTAAATCCTTTTGCATTCCCCTTCACCCCAGGGAGAAACTTGATTATATTTAGGGCGCTTGTCCGTACCTGAGAATTTCCTGGATGCTTTCTCCACTTGGTTTGGCCATCTTTTCCAATGTAATATGCAACTTTTTCGTACGCCATTTCATCTGAAAGATCCAATATATTGTTTGGTCATCAATATATTGCTCATCATCCGTGTTGTGATCTTGAATCCCTTCATCATCATCCTGCAAACTCGAGTCGTCGTCAGATGGCTCGACATCAGTCTCAAAATCCTCATAGAGTTGGCGACGATATTCTTGTTCCCTTTCGTAATTCATTTTGAATATTGTAATCAAATGTGCAGAAATTAATTTAAAATGTTTACCTTGAAAAAATTAACACTAACACTAACGTGCGGAGTGAGAGTGAGAGTCCGCATAAGAGCCCAATTCGAACACGAAGCACCCTGCTCTATTTACCTCCTAACACTAACTTCGGGTTCTCAACGGCAACAGCTACTCAGTGGTACAGACGCCTACTCGGAATAGTTTGGTAAATATTGTTCTTTTTTCGTCGGTGCAAACTCACAGTCCGTTATTTAGTGAATGGAAAATGACAATGATCGACATAGTCGCATAAACCAATGCCAAAACACAATGGGTAAGAGAGAGAGGGAGTACAGAGACTCGTTTTCAGTGTTGCCGTTTTTAGTACATTTGTACTAGATTCAGTACACTACAGTGTAATTTAGTACGTCAGTACACCATCGATAATTTTAGTACTATTTATAGCGAATTTCATTGGTAGAACCAGTGCAGAAAAAATGTATTTTTATTTTTCTCTTATACAAACTGATAGTATTGTATTGTATGTATAAGGGCAGGTATTATAAAACTATTTTGACAG